TAGGAGCATACATAGGAGCATACATATTCTTTACACTTTGGTCCAGACAAAGAACATTGACTAATCCTACGCTTGTTCACTGATTTACTAAATCTGCGGCTAGGTTGGGAGGATACCAGCTCTCACTTCGGAGCTCCGTTGTTCCCCTCGCCTGAGAACTAATATCTACACTTCAGCACCCAAACGATAGGACCGAATTGGGGATTTTGGTCTGTCACTCTAAATTCTCTAATTCTACGCCCCATAATTGTATTTTCCTATTACTTGCATCCAACTTCCAAGAGCTTTGACCTTCCTGAATCTTGGATGTAATCTTCAATTTAGTTGTAAAACTCAACATATTTTAACAAATCAATTGGTCATATTTAAAGCAAATTAAGATTGAAGTGAAAAGATTATCATGGGAAAAACACAACAAAATTCGGAATTCATATCTCATGGTAGAAAGACAGCTCATGGGAGAAAGACAGAGAAAACTACTCAGACCAATTCAAATCACCATTTCACAAATCTCAAGACAAGGAGAAAGACAGAGAAAACTACTCAGATCTCATGGGAAAAACACAACAAAATTCGGAATTCATATATAAAATCAAAGTCATACAAACTACAATAATAAATAAACTTATCTAAATTTATCTCTAATATCTCCCCAAGCAAGCTCCTCGAAGTTCCTCTGAATCTCTTCCTTTCTTTACAACACACAGAATTCATCTTCGAAGCGGTAAGGAGGAAGAAATCTCTCATTTTCCCTTCACACTTACAATCTCTCAAAGAATTCCTCACAATTTAGACACTCTACGATTTTCCACACTTCAAATTTGAGCCTCCTCCCTCTTCTATTTTCGGCCAAAGTCTTCTATTTAAAGATGTGGATGAATTTTCCCAAGAGTTGCCTAAGCACCCCTCCAAAATTCGTCCTCATCCAATGCATAGTTGGACATAACCGCCGAGCTCTCCATTGGCAGACCTTCTTAAGCCTTGTAAGTGAATTAATTTTGGAGTCTCGAGAAAAGTCGATCGTCGACGCCGTTGGGCTCGACGTCGGCGCCCTAGTTCAAATCTTCACATTTTGGTCTTTTTCGCTCCAAATTCGCTCTTTTTTGCATATTTTTGCTTCAATGACCTTAATTCATCATTCTTGTAACAAAACATCAAAAATACATTTCTTTAGAGTGCAATATCATCAAAAACAGTATAAAATAGGTATAAAAATCTCAACATATTTTTCTTTGATCAATTGACATGTACTATTTCAAAAGGTCGACGAAGTCAAGGCTTAGCAGACGACCGACGAACTTCCTACCGATTGAAACAGACCTCTGGTATTATTATATGTGAATACTTATGTAATTTCCGAAAAATCTCTCTGAAAATTCAATAATAAGGGGACTAATATTTAATTTTTTAAAATTGAGACCTAATCCTATAAATAAGGGCTCAATGTCATGAATAAAGTTCCACTCTCTATTATTGTTCTCTATTGTGCTTTCTCTCACTCTCTCATTCTTCCTTGTGGAATGTTTTATACCTTAGTTGTGTTCCCGGGCACTTTTGGATTCAACATCTGACATCAAAAATATGCAACACACATAAAATCATCTTGGAGGATGAGATTTAATAAAGATATCAACTAGTTGCCCAATTGAAGAAATCAATCAAAAGTAAGTCACAGCAAATTAAATGATGTTTAACCTCAATGTATTTGATGCGCTCATTACGGATATCATTTTGGGTAATGACGATTGCATTGCAATTTTCACAATGAACTTGGAAAAGTCCTAATGAGATCTATAATCCTATCTACCGGCCAAAAAAAAACGTACAGAAGGGGCATGATATTTAAATTCAGTACTAGAATAAGCTACCCTATCAATTTCTTGATCCATAGGGAATTTTAAGAAACTAGATATGTAGTTCCGTAAAAATTGTTCTATGTGAATAGGAAGCAAAATACAGATAAAGATAGGACAAAAAAATTAAGAGAATAGTGTATGGTAATTCCTACATAATGAAGAATGTGAAGAACTAAATCACAATGGTATGGGGGTGATAATACACTGCCCAAAAGTGTTTCGTATAAACAATTTTAGGATAGGTAACTATTAAATATGATTATCATGTTATCAATTGCTGATGTTGTAAGGGATATTATTGATGCATCCAATCAATAGAGTGAAGATGATTGTGTGGTTCCAAAGGTATAGATGCGCAATTTTGAACTAAGTAATGGCAACATGATTGAGAAGGTCAAAGACTTACTTCGACTAGAGGAAATGATGAGAACTAGAGACTGAGGAGATTTAGACGCCGACAAAGTGATTTAAGTGACTTAGTTACATGTAAAGAGTAGCAATATTATGATTGTCATTATCAATGAAGAAAAAGAAAGGCGTTATCTGAGGAGGCAATGAACAAGTTAATCAAATTAAGAGGACTAGAGAAATATTCAGAATATTAACAGTACTATTGAACTTTTAAATCAACCCTGATTGAGACAAAAGAAACTTCTTTGGTTTTAACAAACCTTGCTGACCGAACAACAAACTAGATGGATAGCACATATAAACTTCATTCTTAAGCTCACCATCGATGATGTCCATTCCCAACATCCATCTAAAAAATGGCCTGTGGTGGGCAACAATGTCAACAGAAGAGCAAATACAAGAAGAGTAGCATGAGCAAAGATTTCAAAAGAGTTAATATCATATTCTTGTCTGAATCCTTTTACAATAAGACATGCTTTATAATAGTAAAAGACTACTATTTAGATCCATTTATATACGGCAATCAGTTGTCCTGTAAGAAAAGAATAAAAACAAAGTAAAAACAAACCATATGAGGAAGAACTGTTCTTCAGCACAAGGGAAAAAAGAAAAAAAATGGTACCATAAAATACCTGTTTGTTCTTCTACAGCAGAAAATGCAACCGCCTGGAGGGTATCTTCCAACTCATTGAACTTGTCTTGTAAAGACCCACTTCCATTTGTCATGATTCTTAATGTGTTGTTCATGTCCAGAACGCAGACAACATTTTCAAGAGGCGTCTCAAGATTTTTTTCAATCAATGAATTTGTGGCTTTAGTGCTGCTCCTCAAACTCAGTAAACAGTGCTCTTTCGATGGATCTACTAAAAAGACTGCAACTTTAGAAATTGGCCATCCCTCCATGTCAGGAGCCCTTTTAGATGCATCTAAAGCTAAACAGACATTACAAGCATCCATGATCATCTTCTCTGTGATGGAAAGAGGTTCATCCAGATCTCCTGAACTCATATCACTTTCATACATAGCATTCATATAATTCAAAAGCGAAGATTTAGAAATGCAAGCTAATTTACAGAACGAACTGAAATCCAGGAACTCAAGCTTTGGAAATAGCTTCCGATGGTAGCAATTATAGAGCAAAACAACTGCATACATCTGCAAAAGCACGCTATAAGATGAGCCATAACTTGTTAGCATAAAAAATATGCAAGGAAGATAGCATATTATGCAGAAAATAGATAATAAAAAAATAAATGTATATAAATGTATCAACCAAAAACGCATCAACAATGTCTATTTCCAGAAAAAAAGCAGTTTCAGAGTGCTTAATTCATAAATGTCATCCAAATCAGTCCTTCATCTCAGAAGAATAATTCAACCCCCATGTGATTATTAAATCAAAGTTGAAAATTGCAACATATGCAAAGAGCGTAATTCCTTAGTTTGAACAAACAGAACCTTAATTTTACTTCTAATAAAAAGCATTTCAACTAATCGTTTGCAAATGAAATCATGAGCTGTTACGTTAAGCGACAGAAAAAAAACGAGAATGTGAACACATTTTATCATTTCACTTCACAAATGATAAGCACATGTGCTACAGATTTCATACAAACTAGAAATAATATTAAAAAAACAAGCTGCCTATAGAAGTAATCTGTTAATGGCGCAAACCTGTTTGGCAACTTTTTCCTGCTGTTCGAGTGTTGGGGGAACCCGCGAAATGCTAGCGCGAGGAAGAAAGGGAGAGACAAGACCTTCTATCAAAGCTTCCACTGTTTCCTCCGTCGGCACCATCTCCGGTGGCCCCATCAGAGCAGCGAATGCTCCGACGAACTTCGCAAGAAAGGAAATGAAATAAGATTATGCTAGGGTTTGGCTTCGGTCTGGCTTTTGATTCGGCTTCCTCCAATGTCCCGGAGCGGTAAAACGTAATCGGAATACGGGAATAGCATTAAGCGCGAAGTTGAGCGAGTTGTTTGCAGTGGACTGAAGAAGGGAGTTCAAAGGAGGTTGTATTGGTTAACACCACGTTGCATCGACATACCCACTGAACGATAGTATTTCGTCGCATTGGCTATTCTCAGTGTTTGCTGTTCACAGGCCCCAGCGCTAAAAAAACAAAGAATCACTGTTCCTCGGTGTTAGTATTAGCGCACATTTCAAAGGGAAAATTTTTAAAATTTAATTAATTTTTTTGGAGCATATAAAAATATATAATTTCATGGAAAAACGAATATATTTTCCCTCATAACATATATGCTCAAAAAATCAAGCTAAAGTATTATGGTCTTGTGGGTTAAATATATTTTGGTTTAAATATTTTATTTTTTAAATTTTACTTGTGTGACGTGGAAGATTATGTGATATTAGAAAAAATAGAAATTCAAAAATAAATTTTTATTAATGTATTAGTGAAGCCACAACACGACATAACTCGAAAGAATGATACCTATGCTCTAGCTAAGGCAGGAAGGGAGGACTAGAAGCGGAAGCAGCGGGATATCATTCTTTCGTTTTTTGAAATGAAAATAGGATTTGAAAGAAGAGTGGATATTCCCAGCGGTGATGGTGTTTGCTAAGCACTACTGGGACTAGGATGGGGTGGAGGCAGCGGAGTAGGTTAGAAAATAGGATTTGAAGGAGAGTGGTGGTTGATTTGATGGTTGGAGGAGCTCAGCGGTGATGGTGTTTGCTAAGCACTACGGGGACCAGGATGGGGTGGAGGCAGCGGGGTAGGTTAGAAAATAGGATTTGAAAGGAGAGTGGTGGTTGATTTGATGGTTGGAGGAGCGAGGCGACAGGGAAAGTGGTGGGAAAGGAAAGGAGAGATGCTGGGAGCTGGCGGGGGTGACCCAGACAGCAAGGAGAGCTTTATGAAGTGGCTGGCGGGATGCAGGTGGGGGTCGGAGGCCTGGACGGCGAGGTCCGACGGCTAGAGAATGGAGGACAGGGTGTTAGTGGGTGGGTAGGAGGGCAGAAAGTGAGTGGTTGCACTGAGAGGATGCGTTGGGGTGATCGGCGACTATGTAGAAGGGAATAGGAGGAGTGAAGAAGGGGTTTAATGAAGATACTACACCACCTCAAAGTATAATACAGTCAGAGCATCACCACCTCCTCAGATACAACCCTACAACAAAGAGAACAACTATGCACATGAATCTGGAATCTGAAAACAACAAAACTAAGTTGTAATTCTCAGAAAACAACAATATATACACTGTCATTAAAAGTGAAAAGAAAAGAAATAGATAAGGAAACTCCCATGAAAAATAAGGTGTGATATGGTGGAAATATCTCTGAAAATGGCCATTAAAGAACTTCCATGCAGGGAAGAGCGCATAAGGAAGGAATTGGAGGGGAGGTAGTTTCGCCCATACTTCCCCTCTCCAGATATCGGGAGAATTCCTTCTGGGCCTCTTCTGAAATTGTGAGACTCCTTCTTGTACAACATATCTGCCTTTTTCTCTTCTCCAGAAGTTGTGAGACTCTCGCCTTGACTGTCTTTTGGACTGGTTATTTGCCAGCTAGTTCAACGAGTTGTTGCTTCAGAATCCCATGCCAATCTCTTAGGGTTGGGGAAGCTTTGACTTCATTTGTCGAAAATCTCGACTTCTCAAAGTATGACATAAGGTAGGTGATGTTGTATGTAGTTGAAACGTTGTAGACCCCGAGCAGGTCTATCTTGTAAGCATTGTCGCTCAGTTTTTGAAGTATTTTTAAAAATTGATCTGCTTTGGGCTAAAGCTTCCCGAATGCTCCTATGAAAAATCTTTCTTTCTTTAATTGAATCCACGTGATGTTACCTTTCTAGAATGTTACTTTCTTCCTAGGTTTATTTGCTTGTGCCTAATATTTGAGGTTTTGCTTAGCAATCTCCTTGTCATTCAATAGTCTTGCTTACAAATTAACTGTAGGCAAATTTGGCTTGGGCTAGAACAAGATCCCACTACTTTTATACTTAATCCCATGAAGCACCTCAGGAGGTTCCTAAGGCTCTTATTTACTACCTCCATCTATCTGTCTGTCTGTGGATGAACTGCTTGACTGAATTGGGGTGTGGTGACTAGGTTTATTCAGAGTGTCCTCCAAAAGTGGCTCAGGATTTTGATGTCTCTATTAAAGGTGATGGTCATGAGAATTTCGAGCAACCTTACAATCTCCCTGAAGTATAGATTAATGATATGAGAGGCGTCTATTATCCAATGGTAGGGTATGAAGTAGGTCATCTTGGAGAATTTATTTACCATAACCATCACAAAGTCCTTGTTCCTTTGAGTTATCAATAGTCCTACCACAAAATCCATGTTGATGGCCACCCACCTACCTCTGGTACTAGGAGTGGCTCGAGATGACAAGTCCTGTACTATTTGACATGTCGCTTCACATATCTCGTTAGTTTGGGAAAAAAACGCTCTCTTATGAGAGTGAGAGCCTTGTCTCTACTGAAGTGAATCATTAATCTTCCACTGGGTTTTTTTGGATAATGACATCTTTCAGTGAACAATTAGGAATGCACATTTGACTCTGGAATAATTGCCTGACAATATTACCCTGTTGGCTTCTCCTAAAATTCCTTTCATATGTTTTTGAAAACCTCTTCTGCTTCAAATAGATCTCTTACAACCTCAAAGGCCACAACTTGGGCCTGCATAGATGTGATCAATAGATGTTGACGACTTAGTGCATTTGTTATGCGGTTCTAGATTCCTGCCTTATGGTTAAGAAAGAACCAGAATGAAGCTAGAAATTTCACCCACGCGGCGTGTCAGCCCTTCAATTTGCTCTAACTTGCTTCAAATAGATCCCTTACAACCTCAAAGGCCACAACTTGGGCCTGTATGGATGTGATCAATAGATGTTGACGACTTAGTGCATCTGTTATGCAGTTCTAGATTCCCGCCTTATGGTTAAGAAAGAACCAGAATGAAGCTAGAAATTTCACCCACGCGGCGTGTCAGCCCTTCAATTTGCTCTAACTATTGAGTAATTTTAGGCCCTTATGATTTGTAAATAGTATAAACTCATTCGTCAATAGGTAATGACTCTAATGCCTCTGAACTCTCACGATGACGTAGAATTCCTTATAATAATTCAAGTGTTTCCTCCAAGAATCATTAAATATTTCACTGAAAAAAGGAGATGGGATGTCCTCTGTGGATTATTACTTCTCCTAATCCCACACTAGAGGCATCACATTCTACCTCAAAAATTTGGTTGAAGTCTGGTGATGCTAGCATGGGCACCGAGTCACCTTTTCCTTCAGTGTGTCAAAGTTGCTCCGAGCTGCTTCTACCATCTAAGCAAACTCCTTCCCTTTCAAAATTTAGGTTAGATGGGAGGTGATGGTACTGAAGTTCCTAATGAATCTCCAATAGAATGGCACTGGCCCCAAAAATTGTCTCAGCTTGGTGAACGACTGTAGTGCGGTCCAACTGATAATGGCCTCTCTCTTTGTGGCATCCATATGAATGTACACACTAGATACGATGTAATCCATAAAGCATACATGGCTTGTTAATAAGAGGCATTTTTTAATATTGGTCTACAATTTCTAGCTCGCAATATCTCAAATATTGCCTTTAGGTGATGTAGGTGATCTTCCTCTGATCAGTTGTATACTAGAATGTCATCGAAGCTGATCACGATAAACTTTTTGATGTGAGCTTGAAATATCCGTCCCATCCATCTCATGAAAAGTGTTGGGTGTGTTTAATAGATCGCAAAGCATAATGATTTACTCAGAAAGCCGATCATGTGTCTTAAAGGTGGTCTTACACTGATCTCATGGCCTCATCTGTATATGGTGATACCCGCAACACAAATTAAGTCAATCTTAGAGA